GAGACAACACACACCGAGACCACACCGAGACCACACACACAGAGACAACACACACCGAGACCACACAGACAGAGATCACACACACAGAGACCACACACACAGAGATCACACACACACAGAGAGATCACACACACACCGAGACAACACACACAGAGACAACACACACCGAGACCACACACACAGAGACCATACACACAGAGGTTAAAGTCTCGCTCCGTTAGAGGGTCTGGTGGTTGCGTTGTCGGCTGTTGTCGGCTGTGGTCGGCTGCGGCGCTGTCTTATTGTAAATTGCAATAGATCTCGCTCCGTTAGAGGGTCTGGTGGTTGCGTGGTCGGCTGTTGTCGGCTGTGGTCGGCTGCGGCGCTGTCTTATTGTAAATTGCAATAGATCTCGCTCCGTTACAGGGTCTGGTGGTTGCGTGGTCGGCTGTTGTCGGCTGTGGTTGGCTGCGGCGCTGTCTTATTGTAAATTGCAATTGCGAATGGAAGTGCAGCGACACGTATAGTGCAACTTGTACATATATATGTACCATATGTACTTTGGCTCAAGGATCAAGCGACTAGAAAAGGTGCGGTTTCCGTTCCGACGCTACGCCGCTTATGGATCGTCAGTGATAGCTTCAAACTTCGCTGATTAAGATCCACTCGCAGGTTATCAGCCGTACGCGCTCTTTATAGCCGTACGAGCTACACGAGACCAAGAACAAGACTAGTCATTACAGAAACCTGCAATGTCAAGCTCAGGAGGAAATGGAAGCGAACCCTATTCATTCGCTGCTCCTGGTGGTCCCAACACCATTTCGTCACCAGACTCTACAATGGGTACTGATTCATCAGCAAATGCTGACGTTATCACTATGCCTACTGGATCACAAATCTCGGAAAGATCCGTGCCACCGGCTCGGAATCTGACCGATCTTGCACCCGTAGGACCAAGAAGATCGATGAGAGCTACAACAAGATCTACATCGCCTATAACGTCTACCGCGAGATCCCCAAGAAGGAGTATAGAGAAGAGACGTGACGATGATAGAGGAACAAAAGAGCAAAGAAGAGAGATTCAGCTGGGTGAAGAATTGAGATTGGCGAGAAACGCATACAATTTTCTTCATGAAGAATATGAATGCATCCAAGCCGGATACTCACGACTACACCACGAGGCTGAAGTGGAGTTCAGGCAAATGTCTGACTACAACAGGAAGATGCAGGAACATCTACAAGAGATGACACAGGAAGATGAAGGAGCGACAATAAGAATTGAAGAGCTCGAACACAAGCTACGCTTGGCGGAATCGACAGCTGAACATATCTACATGAGATATCAAGAGCTTGCACAAGAAACTCATCAAGAACATTCAGAGCTTGAATCTGTGAAAGCAACGAAGGACAGAATGTCCCAAGAGCTTCAAGCAGCAATTGGACACATCCAAGAACAGAATGAATCTTCATTGGCGATCAATAGAAGATCAAAAGCCATTCAGGATGAGAACACAGCCTTCGTCGGAATAGCTGACCAGATACAAGCTAGAATGATTGCGCTACAGGATGAGAATGTCAACATGCACGAGGTGATCCAACACCAGAGAGAAGAACAATGGAACAGTGAGGTCAGGGAAAGACGTCTTCAACACAGTGTTCACTCATCTCAAGATCAGAGCAATCAGGAAGCTATGGTTATTGATCATCTACGAGGTCAACTAGCTATGGCACGTGGAGCTGAACTCAACGCGAGAGCGGAGATAGAAGAGATGGAAGTGGGCATGAGGATGGAGATATTTGTATGCCAGACTGAAGTCTCTGCTAAAGAAATGGCAGAAATGAAGGCGAGCCACCATGAATACGAAGCAAACGTCGCAAAGGAGGTTATCGCAAAAGGAGAAATATTCAACAACGAAGTCCTAGAAGGTTCCATCCGTGAACGACAACAGTTGAAAGACGCCAACCTCGCTCTATCCGAAGCCAACGCACAGCTGAAAAGAGAGAATATGATGAGAGCTCCTATGTTCGGCGATGATGGTGCTGAAATTCAACAGAAGATCAGAGAACTGGAGAATGCACTATTGGAAAGCCAGAAGGAAACAAAGAATGTCATTATGGAAAATGCGAAATTAAAAGCAGAAGCACGAATGGCACCCATAGTCTCTCGGTACAGCAAGCGTCCTAGTTCCAGAGACCGCGGGTTACCAACCCACGCGTCCGAGGAAGATGAGATTCGGAACGCAAAAGAGGAGGCGAAGCACTACAAGGACGGGTACAATGAAATGACAGAGAGCCGAGATGAGATGTATGAATGGTATGCCGAAACCCACAATGAGTACGCCGAGGAAAGGGAGAAATCAATTGAGCTATCCGAGGCGAACAAATCATTGAGGGACAAGATTTCAGAAGCAGAAGCATCCTCTTCATCTCATCTTGCACCGGCAACCTCTACAATCATGAAAGTATCGAGGAAGGAAGAATCAAAGATAAACGTTCCGTCATGGCCCAGGATCAATGATCTTGGACTATGGAAGGCAAATCTCATTCAATCGATCATCATTGCGGCCAATGATTCAGATCAAGAGCCCTGGATCGACTGGATCAAAGAAGCCATGGACGATCCTGATCCGGACAAGTCTGTCGACTCAGGAGACCAAAGATTCCATTCAATCGATGCCAAACTCGGCCTAGCTCTTACCAAGGTCGTCATGGATGCGAAAGATGATGGTTCAGGTGTAGCTATGAAGTTGAGGACGAGGATCAATGCAAAAGGGAGAACATCAAGCCTCATAAAGGGAAGAGAGGTCCTAGCCCTGATCCTTATGAATTTCAAGACAACATCAAATGTGGAAGTCTTATA